AGTGGGCATCCTTGTCTTGTTCCAGTTCTCAGGGGGAATGCTCTCAACTTTCCTCTGTTCCGTATAATATTGGCTGTGGGTTTGTCATAGATGGCTTTTATTACATTAAGGTATGTCCCTTCTATGCCAGCTTTGCTGAGGGTTTTAATCATAAAGGGATGTTGGATTTTGTCAAATGCTTTTTCTGCATTTATTGAAGCGATCATGTGATTTTTGTTTTTGATTCTGTTTATGTGGTATATCACATTCATTGACTTACATATGTTAAACCATCCCTGCATCCCTGGTATGGAACCCACTTGATCATGGTGGATTATCTTTTTGATATGCTGTTGGATTTGGTTCACTAGTATTTTGTTGAGGATTTGTGCATCAGGGATATTGGTCTGTAGCTTTCTTGTTTTATGTCCTTCCCTGGTTTTGGTATTAGGGTGATACTGGCTTCACAGAATGATTTACACAGGATTCCCTCTTTTTCTCTCTTTTGGAATAGTGTCAATAGGATTGGTACCAATTCTTCTTTGAGTGTCCGATAGAGTTCAACTGTGAATCCATCTGGTCCTGGACTGTGTTTTGTTGGCAATTTTTTTATTACCATTTCAATCTCGCTGCTTGTTATTGGTCTGTTCAGAGATTCTGTATCTTCCTGGTTTAATCTAGGAGAGTTGTATATTTTCAGGAATTTATCCATCTCCTCTAGGTTTTCTAGTTTATGCATGTAAAAGTGTTCATAGTAGCTTTAAATCTGTTGCATTTCTGTGGTATCAGTAGTAGTATCTCTTGTTTCATTTCTAATTTAGCTTATTTGGATCTACTCTCTTCTTTTCTTGGTTAATCTTGCTAATGGTCTACCAATTTTGTTTATCTTTTCAAAGAACCAGCTTTTGGTTTCATTCACTCATTCGTTCGTTCATTTTTGAGACGGAGTCTCGCTCTGTTGCCCAGCCTGGTGTGCAGTGGTGTGATCTCAGCTCACTGCAGCCTCCACCTCCCGGGTTCAAGAGATTCTCCTGCCTCAGCCTCCCGAGTAGCTGGGATTACAGGCGTGCACCACCATACCCTGCTAATTTTTGTTTTTTCAGTAGAGATGGGGTTTCACCATGTTGCCCAGACTGGTCTCGAACTCCTGACCCCAAGTGATCCACCCACCTTGGCCTCCCAAAGTGCTGGGATTACAGGCGTGAGCCACCGTGCCTGGCTTGTTTCATTTATCTTTTGTATTGTTTTGTGTGTGTGTGTTTCAGTTTCATTTAGTTCTGCTCTTCTGCTGGGTTTGTTATTTCTCTTCTGCTGGGTTTTGGCTTGAATTGTTCTTGTTTCTCCAGTTCTGTGAGGTGTGACCTTAGATTGTCTGTGCTCTTTCAGACTTTTTGATGCAGGCATTTAATGCTGTGAACTTTCCTCTTAGCACCGCTTTTTCCATATCCCAGAGGTTTTGATAGATTCTGTCACTATTATTCAGTTCAAATAATTTTTAAATTTCCATCTTGATTTCATTGTTGATCCAACCATCATTCAGGAGCAGATTATTTAATTTCCATGTATTTGCATGGTTTTGAGGGTTCCTTTTGGAGTTGATTTCCAATTTTATTCTAATGTGGTCTGATAGAGTACTTGATATAATTTTGGTTTTCTTAAATTTACTGAGACTTGTTTTGTGGCCTATCCTATGGCCATTTTACATTTCTATCAGCAGTGTATTAGGGTTCTAATTTCTTCACATCCTTGCCAACACTTGTTACTACCTATCTTTTTTATTATAGCCATCCTTGTGGGTGTGCAGTGGTGTCTCATTGTAGTTTTGATTTGCATTTCCCTAATAATGTTGAGCATCTTTCCATGTACTTATTGGACATTTATATATCTTTGGAGGAATGTCTCTGCAGATCCTTTGCCCATTTTACAATATTATTTATCCTTTTATTATTGAGTTGTAAGAGGAGTTCTTTATATATTTTATATATAGATCATGTATCATATATAATTTGCAAACATTTTCTCCCTTTCTGGGGGTTGACTTTCACTTTCTTGATGGTATTCTTCAAAGCACAAAAGTTTTACTTTTGATAATATTCAGTGTATCTAGTTTTTCTTTCATAGCTTAGGCTTTTGATGTCATATCTAAAAAGTCATTGCCTAGGCTGGGTGCAGTGGCTCACGCCTGTAATCCCAACACTTTGGGAGGTCGAGGCAGGCGGATCACGAGGTCAGGAGATTGAGACCATCCTGGCTAACCTGGTGAAACCCCATCTCTACGAAAAATACAAAAAATTAGCCAGGCGTGGTGGCGGGCGCCTGTAGTGCCAGCTACTCGGGAGGCTGAGGCAGGCAAATGGCATGAACCTGGGAGGCAGAGCTTGCAGTGAACCGAGGTAGCGCCACTGCACTCCAGCCTGGGTGACAGAGCGAGAATCCATCTCAAAAAAAAAAAAAAAAAGTCATTGCCTAATCCAAGATTATAAATCCTTCCCCCTATGTTTTCTTCTAAGAATGTTATAATTTCAGCTCCTATGTTTAAGTTATTGATTCATTCTGAATTGATTTGTCCATATGTTGTTTAATGATGTCTTTTGAAAAGCAGAGGTTTGGCCGGGCTCAGTGGCTCACACCTGTAATGCTAGCACTTTGGGAGGCCGAGGCAGGTGGATCACCTGAGGTCAGGAGTTCGAGGCCAGCCTAGCCAAGATGGCAAAACCCCGTCTCTACTAAAAATACAAGAATAGCCAGGCATGGTGGCATGCACGCACCTGTAATCCCAGCTACTCTGGAGGCTGAGGCAGGAGAATCGGTTGACCCCAGGGGACGGAGGTTGCAGTGAGCCAAAATCGTGCCACTTCACTCCAGCCTGGGTGAAAAAGTGAAACTCCGTCTCAAAAAAAAGAAAAAGAAAAAGTTTAAAATTTCAATGAAAGCCAGTTTATCTGTTTTGTTTTGTTTTTACATATCATGGTTTGGGTGTTTTCTTAGAGAAGTTTTATAATTTTAGCCCTTATAGTTACTATGATCCATTTTAGTTTTAGCTCTTATAGTTACTATGATCCATTTTGATTTAGTTCATGTTTATTTATATCATGGAAAGATCTCAGAAAGCATGCTAAGTGATTAAAGCAAATTGCAAGTGATATGAGCAGTACAGTACCATTCATGCAAAATTGAAAAGCATGAAATACCATTTATTATTCATAGCTATATATGCACATATAGGTTAAAAGTTTCACACCAAAATCTTTGATAATGGTTGCCTCTGAAGGGAGGAGAGGAAAGAACTGGAACAGGAAAGAACTGGTGGTCAAAGCAGTCTTCAGATTTATCTGCAATATTTTTAGGTTGAAATACATTTGACACGATATGAAGTTACCAATTTGGGGTGGTTAATTATGTTGTACTTTTTAGTTTTCTGTATTTTTTTTAACTTCTTGAAATACACACACATACATACACACACACACACACACACACACACATACAAATGATTCAAAGTAAGAACCACAGAAAACAATCCATTTCTGTTGAGTTTGGTGGCCACACGGTTGAAGCACTGCAGTGGGGTATGGTGTGTCCAGCCTGTCCACCTGTTCAGGGCCAATTCTGTTTGTATGTGGGGTTTCTGAGCTAGCTCCCCAGAAGGATAACTATCTTCATTTGAACTCACTCTCACACTTTGGCTTATATTTTTTCCAGTTTTGCTTCCACAGAAAACCCTAGTCCACCTGTCACACTCAGTTCATGTGCTGAAGAGCTCCAGAGCCCACATCTCAGTGAGCGGCCCTTGATTCGTGTTCTCCTTTTATTTATTTTATCCCATTGCTCCAAACTTTCTCCACAACTGTACCAGGGCCTCCCAAGGAAAGCTCAGTTTCTGTTTACTACGTGTCCTTTTCACCTCGTCCCTGCGGGATGGCCCCAGACAGCCTCGCTGTGTGTGTGCAGTGCGTGTGGCATGACTGGCCCGATGGCCCCGCTTGCAGCCTGCAGCCAAGCTCCCCACATGCTCAGAGCATGCCCTGGGGGAGTGGGGGCGCAGCCTGCAGAGTGCACACTGCCACTCTTGGAGTCAAGGGGTTCTTCCCGTGCCTCCCACTGGCAAGCTGTGTTGCCTGACACAATGCTTTCTTTTCCTTCTATAAAATGGATATAAAAATATACACCCTGGCTAGGTGTGGTGGCTCACACCTGTAATCCTAGCACTTTGGGAGGCCAAGGCAAGCAGATTGCCTGAACTCAGGAGTTAAAGACCAACCTGGGCAACATGTTGAAACTCTGTGTCTACTAAAAATACAAAAAATTAGCCCAGCATGGTGGTACACGCTTGTAGTCCCAGCTACTCGGGAGGCTGAAGCAGGAGAATCTCTTGAACCTGGGAGGCGGAGGTTACAGTGAGCTGAGATTGCACCACTGCACTCCACCTGGGCAACAAAGCAAGACTCTGTCTCCAAAAAAGAAGCATATACATATATAAATATATACATACACACACACACACACACACACACGTATGTCCTTTCCACTCACAGGTTGCCGGGGGTGGGTGGGGTGGTCCAAATGAGAACGTGTGCATGAATGTGTTTGCAAACAAAATGAAAGCTGTTTGCATGTTACTTCCTGCCCCGCTAGCCAAGCCCTTCTAGAGCCCTGGCCCAGCTATATGCTCACTCTGTCTTCCTGAGAGTCCTCCACCACTCTGTGCCAGCCTCTTCTTTCCCTCCCATTCTTGGTCTCTTCTTATGATGTTCTTTCTTCCTGCCCTGCACGACCCCTTCCTTTTTTCCTTTTCTTCCTCTCTCCAGTCTTGGAAGCAGCCTGACTCCTTCCTTTCAAGTATGATCTTGTACCACTGAACTGAGGCCCGCTGGCTGGCTCCGGTTGACGGAGAAAAAGTACTTTCTTTCTTCCTCAAAGAGGTCAGGTACTTGAGATAACATATTTTCTCTCTTTGAATCTCCAGGCTCAGGCCACAGGGTCACCACATACATCGCCCACCCATGGAGGCGGCCGGCCGATGCCCATGCCAGTGCGCTCCACGTCTGCCGGCTCCACCCCCACCCACTGTCCGCAGGACTCACTGAGCGGAGTTGGGGGAGACGTGCAGGAGGCCTTTGCACAAGGTGAGTTTCTGGAGCAGAGTTCAGCAGGGAGCTGAAGGGATCTGCAAACATGGACAAGATTCCTGCTGAGGTTTTTCCATTTCTCTTTTGTGCTCTTGGCTTGAATGATCAGATTTTGACAGACAGTGTAAATAAGTCAGGTGCTGGCCCCTTCTCATGAGACTGGCTGGTCTCCAGCAGGAGGGCTGCAGGCTTCCGATGTGTGCCAAGAACAGGCCTCCTGGGGTTCTCTGCCCTTTTTTCTGGATTATGGGAAGTGCTTTGTCCTTTGAGCTTCGTGTCCTCCAGAGGAATTGGATGGAATAATTCCCTGGCCTAGAAGGGACTGTAACAGGCACTGTAACTGGGACCGTGCTGACAGCATAGTGTGCACGCCATTGCCACAGTCATCGGAGGAGCTGGTGACCAGCAGTATTAAGTAGTTGGGTGGGGATTCAGAGGGAAGTCCTGCTGGGGCTGGAGGTGAGAAGGGGAGGTGGTGGTGGTGGTTGTGGAGAGTAGAGCCCCGCCCCCACAAGGCTGAGGAAGACCTCGGTGGAATGCTTATTCTGGAACCCAGCTCTGGATTGTGTGGTGGTGGCAAAGCGTGGAATTGACAGGATGCTGCTCCCTAGGTAGAGAGGGCAGAGGGAGAGGGACCAGTGGGCTGGTGCCTCCTGCCCCTGGTGTGGCTGGGAGTGGGTGGAGCTGCTGCGGCCCCATCTCCCCTTAGGTATTCCACACCTGTGTCCTCCGGCCTGGCAGAATGGAGGCGTTTGCTCAGCCATCTCTTCTCCATGCTCACCCCCCCTGGCATCCCCATCTGCTCTGCCTCTCCTCAGGTACGAGGAGAAACCTCCGCAATGACCTGCTGGTGGCAGCTGACTCCATCACCAACACCATGTCATCCCTGGTGAAGGAGCTCCATTCAGGTGAAACCCAGAGCTCCCACCCGGCTTCCCGGCCTCCCCTGCCTCGCCCACGCCCTTCTCACTTCCTCGCCAGCTCTGGCAGAACCTCACCACCCAGCTCGCACCACCCCATTTCACCACCCAACTTTGCCTTCTAGGAACACATTGGATGTCTCCGTCCAGAGAGCCTCTGTCACACAGGATTGCATAGGGGCGGTTTCACATTCAGGCTATCTCAGGAGTGCATCTTGTGGAGCAAGCTGAATTTGGAGAAATTCAGACCTTTCAGTGCAGGCAGGCCCCCTTCCTACTTACCCCGTCTTCTATCTGTGCTTTGCCCACAGCCGCTCTCTCCCTAGGCCTGACCGACCGCCTCATTCTGAAGCTTCCCTGGAAGTCTGGAGCCGAATCAGCCAGGAAAGCTCTGGACCTTCCCCTGCTGCCTTTCTGCTCTCTCCTGTTTGATTTGGTTTTGAAGCCTATTCCCTCCTTTTGTCCATGACCAGGCTCTGATTTCACCTGAAGTTCATGACCTGAGTCTGTCGCCTCTTCCACTCTTCGTGCTCAGCTCATCTGTGACTTCTTTCTCAGTCTCTCCATCACCTCGCCACATCAGTGACTTCCCAAAGACCTTTACCTGACATAAAACCCAGGAAAGAGAGAGAAAATAAAAGGCCATTCACATATCATCCTATCTCCAGGAATCCCCATGACTCTGCCAGTTACGTAGGGGCCAGAGAGTCACTAACGATTTCACAGCGGTGGGGTTTCCGTGTTTTCTGTTAAACTAATGGTTTCCCTTCCTAAGTGCTGTAGGTCACTCACACTGATGGTTCTCTTTTGTTTCTTTCCACCTAATGTAGTGCTTTTAAATACCTTGAAGTAGCTTAACAGGGCTATTAAATAAAAAGATAAAGCAGTTTTTCCATGGACCATTCAAACACATAAATTTATTCAAACACTCTTAGGGAAGGCAAGCCTTGGGTATTTTTCAGCCCTTCGTAGGAGAAAGCTCACATGTTTCGGGTTGTCATGGGACTGGACAGAGCCCCCAGCTCTGCTCTCAAGTCTGCCTATTTTCATACAGACCAAAGTGAGTGTGTGGCCCAGGCTACTCTTTCCAGCCAGTGAAGGTCAGACACTGCTTCTCGGGTTTGATGGCGCCACCCTCTCCATTCTAGCACTGTTTCTCAACCCCCGTCAGAAGCACGGCCCCCCTCTGTACCCATGAAGAGAAGAGGTAACAGCCTTTGGGATGACCTCACAGGTGATTAGAAGGCACTTTCCCTAATACAGCTCCCCACAGATGCCAGAAATCCCACTTTTAGAGGAAATTTCTTAGGGAATTTCGGGCCATGGAAATTAACTACACTTGTACTTCATGGCCACTTATTAGAGTTTATGCAAAATAAGTGGCTTCTGCGTTCATCGTGCTGGGGTGAGAGGTCATTAAATACCATTAAGCATAAAGCACATAGAGACCAAATAGCTTCACAAAAATTTAAAGGTTATAGGAATACTCAGCAGTGTCTCATAGTAGGAAAGAATGGTTTCAACAAAATTATGTAGTGTAATTTGGAAGGTGCCTTAGAGAGCACATTGTCCAGTCCCTTACTTTAGAAATATTGCATATGCTTATCAGAAAAGTTGTCTGCCTAAGGACGTGCAGCTTGAAGGGGGAAAGCTGGTCCTAGAACTTGGGTCTTCAGAGCATTAAGCCAGAGATCTTACTCCCCTCCAGGACAAGACATCAAACCCAGAGTCCCAGAGGCCCCTTTCCCTGACGTTCTTTCAGTCACTGAAGCCTGCAGGTAGATGTGGACCAAAGCCACACGTGGCATGGTATCCCTCTAACATGCAGACATAAACTCCCTTTACATGTGAGGGTACCAATTTCTCAGTGAATAGAACAGCTTCGCCCAACACCAACACGTTTTTACTATCTCCTTGACAGTGACTTGACAGGTTTTTGTTCCAATGAGAGGACATACTTGGATTATCTTTACATATAGTCTATACAGTATATACATACTGTATGTACATAGCTTGTACTCCTCATCTTTATAAAGTTTTTTCACAGATAATGGAATCCTAGAATTGGAAAGGATCGAGGCCAGGCACAGTGGCTGACACCTGTAATCTCAGCACTTTGGTAGGCTGAGGCAGGTGGATCACCTGAGGTCAGGAGTTCAAGACCAGCCTGACCAACATGGTGAAACCCCATCTCTACTGAAAATACAAAATTAACCGGACGTGGTGGTGCGTGCCTGTAATCCCAGCTACTCGGGAGGCTGAGGCAGGAAAATCACTTGAACCTGGGATGCAGAGGTTGCATGAGCCGAGATTGCGCCGCTGCACTCCAGCCTGGGCAACAAGAGCAAAACTCCATCTCAAAAAAAAAAGAAAAAGAAAAAAATTGGAAAGGATGTTAGAAGTCATTTAATCTAACTTGCCACCCAATAAAACAGTCCTCTGAATATTTCCAGTGAGCTCATTCATGATCAACTCTAATCACTGGAAAGTTCTTCCTCAGTGGGGAGCCAAAATCTGCCTTTCTGTAATTGATTTATCCCTGTCCTCCAAAGCCACCCAGGACAAGCTCGGTCCCTCCTCTGCAGGCTCACCTGTCACGGGTTGGATGGCAGATGATAACCCTTCCTAGTGTTCTCCTCTGTAGACTGCTACACCCAATTCCTTCCACCTTTCCAAACATGACATGGTTTTCTCTTACCAGCCTGCTTGACCACACCAGGATGTGGCCATTTTCCAAGGCTCCTATTCAAAGTGCACGCCCAGGGCTGGGCACCCTGCTGTCCATCACAGGGGATCTTGTCTCTGCAGAGCACAAGGCATCTGTGACCCTCTTGAGTGGCCCCTGGAAAAGCACCTTAGACAGCATTAGCGCTTCCCACATAGCCACTTTGCGCTGTGCGGTCATCTTAAGTTTATCATCAGTTAAAACATCCGGATTTTTTTTTTTTTTTTTTTTTTACAGAACCCCGTATTAATCTAGGTATTCCCCCACCATATATTGTATGGTCACTTTCTTAAACCTGAATGCAAGACATTAGATGTCTCCCTGGTCATCACCAGCTGAGGGCAGACAGGCAGAGAACGGAGGCACGCAACCCCACACCGCACGCCTCCCGCCCCGGTCAGGAAAGTGAGTGATGTGACTGCACTGCTCCTTGTGGCTCTGGGCTCATGGGCTCCTATTCAACAGTGCTGGGGCGTGGGCCACACAAGTGCAGACTGGTGAGCTGAAGCACCCTCGGAGGCCTGCAGCCAGGAGCTGTTAGCTAGAGTTTCCTCCCAAGCCTCAGCAGTTGCTTTGTTCACCCTCCTTCTGAACTTGTCCTGTGCTGAAGGGTCACTGGCCTCCCTGGACTTGTTTTCACAGCAGAGGAAGGTGCAGAGGAAGAAGAAGAGAAGATGCACAATGGGAAAGACAGAGGTAAAGGCAGCTCAACAGGACTCCTAGTTTAAATGGGGAGCCAGAGCTCATGGATGAACTGCCCCCCACTTTGTTTCTGCCTTCCTCCCTGCCACCACCTTTCCCAGAGCTTTCGGACCCGAGTTCCCTGTACCTACTTTTCCCATCTGACAGTCAGGTTTTACCTTCGAGGAGCCAATGTCAGTCAATCACCAAGAGCTTCATTTCCTGATCCTGGGATAGGTGGTTGGGATACAGGAAGTAGATACAAGTAGAACACAAAAGATGACCCTTTGACTGGAGAAGTTTATGATCTACTTAAGAAAGCAAGACCAGGCCGGAGCGCGGTGGCTCATGCCTGTAATCCCAGCACTTTGGGAGACTGAGCCGGGTAGATCATGAGGTTAGGAGTTCAAGACCAGCAGCCTGGCCAACATAGTGAAACCTTATCTCTACTAAAAATACAAAAAATTAGCCAGGTGTGGTGGCAGGCGCCTGTAGTCTCAGCTACTTGGGGAGGATGAGGCAGGAGAATTGCTTGAATCCAGGAGACGGAGATTGCAGTGAGCCAAGATCGCGCCACTGCACTCCAGCCTGGGCAACAAGAGTAAAACTCCATCTCCAAAAAAAAAAAAAAAAGCAAGACCAAAAATGCAAAATAAACAGGAGATCAAATGAAGTGACAGAAAAAGCTAATCATAAAACTTTCAACATATAAGTATAATAAGGGTTTCTGAAAAGGAAGATATTATTGTGGGCCAGAATAGCCAAATGGTTTTGTGGCTTCGTGGAAGAATAAAAGCAAGAAGGGAAGGTGTCAGCAAAGGACAGTAGTGCCTTCCTAGTTTCATTATATATCAAACCTGCTTAACACATGACATCTGGGAAGAGCTGCATGGAATGATTTTCACATATGATGATCTCATCTAATCCTTAACAACACTGTGAGACAAATTCAAATATCCCTGTTTTACCCATGAGGAAATAGGCTCAGAGAGCTGTTGTTCATGTAGCTGTTGAATGGCAGAGATTAGGCCGGGTGTGGTGGCTCACTCCTATAATCCCAGCACTTGGGGAGGCCGAGGTGGGTGGATCACTTGAGGCCAGGAATTCGAGACCAGCCTGGCCAACGTGGTGAAACCCTGTCTCCACTAAAAATACAAAAATTAGCCAGGTGTGGTGGTGCATGCCTGTAATCGAAGCTACTCGGGAGGCTGAGACAGGAGAATCCCTTGAACTCAGGAGGCAGAGGTTGCAGTGAGCCAAGATCATGGAACAGCACTCCAGCCTGGGCGACAAAGAGAGACTTTGTCTCAAAAAAAAAAAAAAGCAGAGAACTGGGTCTTTCTGACTCCAAACTTCATGCTCTTAATCTTCATCCTTCTATGTTATACTGAACAGAAAACAAAATTTTCTTTGGATATTTGAGGGTGAGCTGTCCTTCTGTCGCACATTAATGTGTTAGTTGCTGGATTCCTCCTAAACATCAGCTCCCCAAGGCAGAGATTTTAGTCCGTTTTGTTCATATTGTGTTCCAGTGCCTGGTGCTGAGTAGGAAGTCAATAAATGAGCAAATCAAAGGAAATAAATGGGGTGATGAGATAGAGAGTACCTTATCAGGGGAGAGAAATGCAGTGACTGGTCACCCCAAGGAGGTGAAGGTAGGGAGAGCAGGAAGGATGCGGAGGAGCCAGCAGCAGCCCTCCCAGGGAGGAATTCTGAACAAGGCTCGGGGGAGTGAAAGAACCTGCAGGTGATAAATGGCACAGCCTGAGTTTAACTCTTAATACCCATGCTTTAGTCTGAGCAGAACTGGTAGACTAAGGGAAGTGGAGTGGTCTTATTTAAGGAAGGATATAAGTCAAGTGGGAGCTACAGGTAAGGAAGCTGTGACAAGAAAGGGAAACCTATGGGACAGCAGGTCTGGGGTGTTCTTGGCCCATAGGGGCTGTTGTGGCTAAGAGAGAGAGGTCTTTGGAGTCTCAGGGGGCAAGGAATTTGTCAGCAAGGAATTGAAATTGCTGAGGAAGAAACTGGAAGAAGAGGAAGAACATTCTGCAGATTCTGAAATCATCTAGTGAGTCTGAGCTAGTCCTGGGAGGAAGTGGACAGCAGCACCACTGAGTTGATGAGAATGACGTATGTGGCATGGACGCCAAAAGGTCAGACTAGGCTGGCCATGGTGGCTCACGCTTGTAATCCCAGCACTTTGGGAGGCTGAGGCAGGGGGGTCACTTGATGCCAGGAGTTCGAGACCAGCGTAGGCAACATAGCAAGACCCCATCTCTACAAAAAATAAAAGTAATTAGCCAGATGTGGTAGTGCACACCTGTAGTCCCAGCTGCTTGGGAGCCAGAGGCAGGATTGCTTCAGCCCAGGAGTATAAGGCTGCATTGAGCCATAGTCATGCCACTGCATTCCAGCCTGGGTGACAGAGCAAAGCCCTATCTCTAAAAAATAAAAATAAAAGGTCACATTAGAGAGAGTAGTGTTTCAGACATCTAGGAATGCTTCATAGAAATGTAGAAACAGTTGACTTACGCACACACATAAGAAAGAAGGCAGGAGGGCAAGAGGTGAAGAGAGAGAGATAAATTTACACTGGTGTAAACACATGCTCCAAACACATGCACACACACACGCACATGCCAACCAAATCCCAGCATTCATGTGGAATGTTCCTGGCTGAAGACGTAACAGCTGCATCTCTGGCCTCCCTTCACCTGCCCCTCCCTTCCCCAGTAGCTTTTTCCCATGGCCTCTCCTCAGTCCCTTTCACTCCCCCAAAGCAAACCTAGGACTCTGCCCCAGCCACTGAGGCCTTGCCCTGGCTACGAACTCCAGCCCTTATCCTGGTTCCATTCTGAGTGTGGGCCGTGCCTCACATGGGAATCAGACCGTGTTTCCCTTGCCCGGCCCTCCAGGCCCCAGGATGCTGTCTCTGCACCTGCACTGCCCTGTCCTCATCAGACTGGGTTTCCCTTGCCCGGCCCTCCAGGCCCCAGGGCGTTATCTTTGTACCTACACTGCCCTGTCTGCATCAGACTGGGTTTCCCTTGCCTGGCCCTCCAGGCCCCAGGGTGCTGTCTCTGCACCTGCACTGCCCTGTCCTCATCAGACTGGGTTTCCCTTGCCCAGCCCTCCAGGCCCCAGGGTGCTGTCTTTACACCTGCACTGCCCTGTCCTCATCTCTTGTTTCTGTGCCTCTTGCCCTTAGAGCTCCTTGTGTGTCTTTCAATGCATATACTAGAATGTCTGTATGTCTATGTGAAATCTTTTTGTGGGAATGCCTGAATTTTATGTGACTTTCTGGTGTCATCCCTAAGGCCAAGAGTGTTAATAGTTGGGGTGAGAGATGGTAGAGTTTTTATGTTTGGCTCTCCACATTATATAGGTCCTATGATATGTCCCTGAAACTACAATGTAGCTGATACATAGGCATTTTTCTAAGACTAAGTGTTTTTGTGGGTGGACCTCCTGATTCTCTGCCATGAGCTAGGCCTGAAATTTTACAGACCTAGAACTAACTGCAGTCACCTGGACACCAGAGATCTGTAACTGTCAACTGTAAAGAGAGAGAGAGAGTATATTTGCTTCTTTGGGGTTGAAACCATGCTGACGTAATATAAACAGAATTTGGTCAGCACTGTCAGGCAAACAGTCTGCTCGATAGGGAAACTCTTGAGAGTCAAATGGGACTTTTGAAGAATCTGGACCAAGCTGAACTTCCCTGCCATATTCACCCCTACCTCACGCCTCTCCCTGTTCGCCCCTGGCTGGCTGGCTGGCTGCATCCTGGGGAACGCTTCTGCTCCATTGGGGTACCCTTCCTCCTATGCATCTTCTCAGAGAAGTGTAACCAAGACACATAGAAGAAGCACAGACTGACACCTTCCCCCATAGTATGTCTTCTCCACCCTCCAGAGCCTCATGTTACGCTCCTGTGTCCTTCAGAATCTCCCCTCCCAGACCCTGCCATCCCGGTGTGGGGGTTGTAAATCCAGTTTGCATCCATAAAGAGCCCTGGTGCAAGGCTGGACAGCAGTGGCCCTCAGAGAACAGAACAGGCTCGGGAGGGGCCAGGCAGTGCTCGAGCCCCGGGTGAGCAAGCGCATGGCTTTTCAAAGCAGACTATCTGCAGGAGGGGGACTGCCCTCACCCAAGGTGCAGTCCCTTGGGGAACTTTTAGAGCTGGGTAGGTTTTGCCCCCCTCATGTAACTGCTCCCTGGATTTAAGGAGATTTGTTTCCATTTTTAATGACTTTCCTTCTCCTGAGAAGCATCTGTCTCCATAGCTACCTTGGGTTGGCTATGGTAGTAGAAAGTATGACTCTAGCCTGCTGTCATACCTGGGTGGGAAAAGTCAACATACAAGTAACGGGAGAAACAAGGAAGCCCCTGGAGTGGGTGGTTCAGGGAAGCATAGTCTGGGGCATGAGAAGACCTGGCCGTGACCTCAGCGTGTTGTTTCTGCCCGTGCTGCCACAGGTTAGCAGAGGAGCCGGACACAGAGGAAGCTCAGGTGAGTACAGAGTCCTCTGCCTCCCCACGGCCCCTCCCTCCTTCCTCAACATCTTCCCTTCCCCTTCCTTTCTGCGGTCACAGGTCCCAAGCCAGGACAGTCCTAACAGGTGAAGATGCAAGAGCCCGACTCCCTTCCCTTTGCCCACCCTGGCCATGTGCCCTCCTTGCCCTATTTCTAGGCCGTGTCCTGTCTTGCACGGCACTGTCTGCATGCCTGGTCCTTGGGCATGGCCTGGTGACCTCTGTGTTGGGATGGCGTTGGCAGACCCAACACCGTTGGCTGAAACAGGGCGTGCTGAGCAAGGCCACCTCCCTGGGGAGCACTGCCTCCCATGCTCCTTTACCATAGCCACTGCCCACTTCCTTCCTGGGATCCAAACCACAGCCAGTGCGTCCCTGGATTCTGTCACCCAGCACTGCACCGAGTCACAGTCCCTAACCCATAGACATGTGATTCATGCAGGATCACACTACATACAGGGCTGACCAAGCCGCTACCCATGGTGCCCGGCCAAGCTGCACCTTCTCACTTCCTGAAGAAGCAGTGCAGAAAAGTACAGACTGCTCCAGTGGCAGATGCTCATTGCCTTTAGGAATTAGTCATTCCCATTTTCCATCTCCACACCTTAACTCTTTCTAGTCCCAGCGCCAAGATATCAGACTTCTCCATTTTAAAATCTTGTCTTCCCTCCCCCTTCCCCTACTTCTTATATTTAAAAATTAGGCATCTTCCTCAGGTGAAAAAGCCAGGGCCCTAGCCCCACAATCCAGAAAAGGAGTTTTTTCAGACTTTCCCAAGTCTTGTCATCCTGGAATAGCTTCTGGCCCTCTCAGCCCTCTCTGCCCAACTGCGCCAGGCCATTGAAGGGCTCTGCCCGTTCCCCTGGGGCCCCTGCAGCCTCAGCCTGCGCTGACTCTGGATTGTGCAAGCTGAGAGGTGGGCAGCACCTGGGCCACGCGCATTCTCTCGCTGCCCTGGAAATCACAGTGCCCCAGGGGCTTGGAGAGACGCTTCTCCCTAAACTCACTGTGCACATTCAGGCAAGGTCCTTTCCCAAGCAAGCCTAGGCCGTGGCAGCCGAGGAGGGAAATCAGGAACTGACTCGCCCTGCAGGAGCCTGCCAGAGCCCCTCTCTCCCCCGGGCGGAAGGAACTGCGGTGCAAGGAAACGTGGCAGAGCCATGTGCCCCCACCGCCTTGTTGCACATGGAGGAAACCAAAGCCCGACACCGGAAGCTGTATGCCAGAAGCAGAATTGGAGCCGGTTTTTCTGCCTCCTAATCGTGCCCTCTCTGACCCACATCAGGGGTGATGAGAAACACCAACAGTCGGGAGTTAAACTAAAAGCATTAAACTTGGGCGCCGCGGTTCCATGGATGCCCGGGCCTGCGCTCTGGTGGCCTGGGGCTGAGGCTTCCTCCCTTTCCTCTTTGTATTCATCGGCACACCTCAGTCCTCCCTGCCCTTCTCCTGGGCCACAGTTCTCCCCAAGAAAGCACCCCATTCCAAACCTTGCATTGTGAACCCAGTTCTCCACGGAAACACTTCCTGACTCTTAGGAATGGTAGCAGAGGACCCTAGGTACCACCCTTCAGCTCAGCGCTTGAAAGGCGCCCAGCATCCTAGCAGCCCCTCCCCGCAGGACCTCCTGTTCACAGTAGATGTTAGCAGCTTTTGTCCTGAACCCTCAGCAGTGCCTGTGACTAACGGTGAGTGTGTCTTGCGCAGGCACAGAGGACGAGGAGCAAGCTGGCGCCGACATGGCGAAGGCAAGGTCTTCCCCCAGAGGCACATTCCTCTCCATCTTTCCACCGCACACCTGGACCAGGCTTGCAGGCTGCCAGACGTCACTCCACCCGCCAGGGAGAGGGGAGCCAGAGCCGGTGGGAAGCGGGGAGGGGCTGCGTGACACAGCTGGTGGGCCTCCCCCTGCACAGCCCTGCATGTACTAGCACCTTCATCACTCCCCTCAGGGCATGGTCTCATCTCCGCATCAGGAATTTACCTGGAGGTTGAAAAGAGAAAAGAAAAAGCACCAAGCTCTTGTGTGTTTGTGACCTGATAGAACTCTGCCTGGCGTCTGGCCAGCACGTGGGGTGTTCCCAAACGTGGGGGCACAAGTTTCCTTATCTTTGACCTTTAAGAACCAACAGGTTTCTTCTAGCGTGCAAAGAAAGCGTCAGGCCTTGCTCGGCTCTGTAGACATTCACACCCTGGCCACGGTGCTAAAAATAGCCTCACACTGGTTAGGCTTCCGCCCGCCCCGTGTGATGCCGCCGCCTGCAACCCGGGAGGGAGGGGCGGAGATCGCGCCGCGCGCCGCAGCCCGGCTGGCCGCCTGGCAGAGGGCGGGAGGGACTCTCTGCGCCGCGGACTCCGTGGCCGCCAGGGGGCGCGCCGCCGGGGGCGCTGCTCGGAGCCTTTCGCCTTAGGGGTCCATTGGGCTCGGGTACACGTGATCAAGTCCCGTTCCCGGTGATTTTCATTTATTTTTTCCTCCTCCCTGGGCTCCAGGATGTTATTTTTAGCAGAAGAACTGCTATAAATATTTATAAAGGGCAGTGACTGTAATGAAGCGAGAAGCCCCACAGCTGGCTCCCTGGCATCCCCCACCCACCTCTGCAGACCCCTGACCTTGGCTTTGAGGAGGTCTGTGCAGAGCCGGTGGGATCAACTTCTGGCCGTGCACGGATGGAGTCCCAGGGAAGCCTGCCAAGGCCCAGTCAGGGTAAAATAGAAGGGGTGGGTATTCACTCCTTCCATCCTTCCCTGTCTCTTCTCCCCCATAGCTCATCTTCCCACTGGTTGGCACTGTGTCCCCTTGAACTTTCCACGGGGTTCTGCTCACCGTGGCCCCTCTCTGGCCTTCCAGGCAAGCAGGGATCCCTGTTTCCAAGGGCATGGGGCCCTCTCCTCTGCCCAAGCCCCTGCTGACTCTGTGTCCTCAGCTCTGAGGCCAGCACTCAGGTACTGGGTGCACTCTGGTGATGCTGGTTCTTGCTAAGGTTGATGTCTTGTAGAGCTAGAATATCCGCCATTACCTAAGCCCCGAGCTCCCTCATGACTGTTGGCATCTGCTTTAGGACCCACATCCCTGTCAGACGTTTGGAACTGGGTCCCTTTCCTCAACCCTGGCGAGGAACACAGATGGTCATCACAGAAGGAAGATGGGCACTTCCATCTTAATTGCTCTGGGACCACTGAGCAGCCTAGGTAGACGGTCTTTTGAGAGACTGCGGCATCACTGACTCCTGGGTGAGCCAGGCTGCCATGCAGCACCATAGCCTGGGCTGGCGCTGTTTTTCTGTGCCGGAGGACTCCTGGAGGGCTACATCGTGGGTCTTGAGGAAGCAACAGCTCCACCGAGTTCTTGTCCATAAGTCCCAGCCATCCTGAGCCTCCTCTTCCCTTCGTGGCCCCTCTCATCTGCTGGTGAGGCTTCATCCACTGGCAGACGCGCCCCTCTTCGCTCTGCTTACTGTGCTCCTGCAGCCCATAAGCGCTTCGGAGGGGTGCAGTTGCTATGGCAATGCCTACAGCCATCTGAATTCCTGCTGCACCTTCTGGAAGAAAAGAGCTCATGAAGAGGCATTCGGTGGATTCCCAGTCTGGCCTCTGGCCTCTGCACTGCCAGGGCTCAGCTGATGGGTTACATGCGGGACATGTGGGAGGTTAGTAGCCCGCCTTCCTTGGGAAGACACTGTAGCTGCAAGCCTCATGCGCCTGGACAGGTTCTCCTTGTGTGGATCAGAAAACTAAATGAAGTGTCCTTCTCAGGGCTCCTAGGTAATATACTGCACCAGTGGTTCGCAGACTTCAGCATGTCCGTGAATCCCCTGGAGGGCTTGTTAAAATACGGATAGAGTCTCTGATTCAGCAGGTCTTGGGTAGAACCAGAGAATTTGCACTTAACAAGCTTGCAGGTGATGGTGGTGCTGTTGGTCCAAAGACCACACTGTGAGATTCACGGGACGACACTTAGATGAAGAAGAAAACAAAGCAGTGCGGGAAGACATTGCCTGTCAGTGAAGAAAGGCCAGAGTCAGCCACCTGTTTTAAAGGAAGAAAGGGCCCTGGGGATGTGTGCTGGAACTAGGATCCCTAGTCTAAGTTGGTTTTGGTCCCCAGCAATCAATAAAGACTCTCCCAGACATGAAGGGGGGCAGCATTGAGGCAAGGCCTGTAAGTTACAGAAGACCAACATCGTGGAGGCCCAGTGACTGAGGGGGTTACTTCTCAGTCTAGAGTCTCCCTGGTAGGGGTGCTGAAGGCCTGCCTGGCTCAGGAGGGATGTCAGGGGAGAGGGGGTGCTGCAGGCACCTAAGCCCCACAGCCAGAGCCTCGACACCAAGATGCTTTCTCCAGGATGCAAATACCATCTTCCACATGAAACAACATCCAGGCCCAGATGGGCTGCTTCAGCCTCCCCGAAGCTCTGTCTCCCATGGGCGTTATTCTTTTCAGAGGGAAAATGATTACTAGAGAACCTAGTAATTCGATGTTACAGGCCTCCCCAGTTAAAGTAGCAGATCCCAGGGACTCTGACGCCTTCTCTGCAGTTAACCTCGCTTGGGAAGCCAGAACTCTATAGGTAGCGAGCTTGGAGTCTCTCCTGCCTCCTGCACAGGCATGTCTGCAAACAGGTGGAGGACACTGCCTCCATCTTCCCTCTGCCTCCTACTTCCAAGGGTGGACAGCTGGAGTAGGACCATGGCATAAAAGAAACGGGCATCAAATCCTTTTACCAGTTCCAGAAAGCAAGATGAGTCTACTAGTTCTGTGACAGTTTGAATGGATTGTGAGTGCTTTCATGTGGAAAATTTAAAATATCTAAGGGAGGTCATGAGAACTAGAACTTGCTGGGAATGGAGGTGGGAGGCAGGTGTTGAAGACACAAACACCAGGTAGCCATCCTTGTATTTCTGAACAAATGGAGCCTGTCATTGATAAAGGTGAAGATTCAGAAGGGACTCATAGGCTAGAGGTGAAATGGTTTATTCAGGAAGATTCTTCACGGGTATCAACTGTGTGCTGGGCACAAAGCCCCTTCCTCAGGCCTTCAGGCCTCACTGGCTCCAGGGTCTTAGAGCTTAAGGTTGGAATCTGGTCTCGGTTCACAACTGTACAGTGAAGGGTGGGATTGGAGGAACTGGCTGCCCTATGAACACACCAGACTCAGGACAGTGGGTGCAAAGTGAGGCCACCCAGGGGAGGAAAAGGCTGTGGTCCCTACTCAGAATCTGTTCTAGGTGCTGAGAAGGATGGGTCCTTGGGCTCATGGGTGGGAGGGGAGACTGGGAAGAGTGGGACCTGAGGAACCCAGAGGTGTGTCCTTGAATTCAGGAGTCACGGCGAACATACAGAGACCTCACAGCCCCCTGGGACCCAGCTCACTGCTGGCTCGGAAAGAGTCCGTTACCACGCAGTCAGTGATGGCCTGGGTCAGCCCCAGCAAGTCCTCAACCAGGTGGCAGAAACACCTGTCCGAAGCTTGGCCTACAGCAATGGGCCACACTCCCAGGCAGAGTTCATAGGCCTGAAGCCAGGGGTAGTGGCACAAGCAGATAATCTCACCCCATCTTGGTGAGGGGCACAGAGAGTCCTCAGAGCACAAGCGTGGCCGTGGGCACACCCTGGTGGGGCCCCTGGCTTGGACGGTGCAGGCCGCAGGTGCTGCTGTTCTCCCCAGGAGAGCAGCCTGTGCTGGAGCCCTGGAAAGCAAGGCCTTTGGCTCAGCGCCTGACTCAGGACTGGGGCAGCTGGCCGCCCTGCCCCCCGCCTTCCGGCCTGAAGGGCACCTGTACCCATCAGGCTTTTTGTTCAGGCCTCAGCGTGAGCCACGCTGTCTCCACCACCATGGTATGTCCCAAAACCTTAGTCACTTTGTCTCTTTCCCTCCCTGCCTAGAAATGCCTCCTGTGCCAGGCACCCATGGCCCTCACTGAGGAGGTTCAGCCTGGGCCCCACGTCTGAAGCCTCTAGAAGTCCTCCCCACAGCTTCTCCCAATCCCAAGCCTCTTCCTTTCCTTTCCATCAGAGAAGGCCCCATGGTTCCTCCTTCCTCCTCCACAAAACCTATTGGCCATGGGTGCTGACAAGAAGCAGCATGTCCTCTGCTTCCCAGCCAGAAACAGCAGGGAGCTGCCCTGGTGAGGACCCTGCCCTCCTTGGCCTTGCTCGTGTGCCCTCTTAGGGCTGCCCTGATGGGCTGGTCTTTTGGAAGAAGGAATATGCCCTGGGCCTGCTGAGAAAGAGGCCACGCAGCGAGGAGGCAGGCCGCCCAGGAATCGCTCTGGCCCAAGGGCCTTGCGCAAATGTCGGCTGTGAGGGAGCCAGGCGGGAGCTCCTGCAGAGACGCTCAAGCTTCCTTCTGGACCAGCTTCTGGGGATGAGCCAGGATGGGGACAGTGGGGCTGAGGGTTAGCAAGGAGGTCTCCAGGCTAGGCTGGGCTGGGACGCAGTCCCCTCCTCCGTGGGCTTCCCTTTTCTCCTGATTGCTGGTTGGTGTTTGTCCTACTTTCCTCATTGCCTAGGCAACCATTCCGGGTTCACCCTTTGCCACCCAGCCTACCCCGGGAGCCCAGAGCCTAGCTCTTCCCACTCCCGGAGGAGGAGAACAAAGAAACGAGGCATACCGAGAACAGCAGGGTGACGCCAGGGACACGTGGGCTGAAGAACCAGGGGCAAGGAGAGGGAAAGAGAACGAAAGGGATGGGAAGAAAGGCAGAGCTGGAGCTGAGGGGGAGCCATGGACACTGGGATACGGTGGCCGCACGGCAGGTCTGAGGCCAAGGAAGGCGGAGGAAGGAAGCCAGGAAGGGCCCTGGGGTAGAAAAGCTGGGAAGGAGGCCGAGTTGAGGTGGACTCTCCGAGTCGCATCCTGAGCTTGTGGGAATCGTTCCTTTGTCCCGTTGTTTCCACAGCTCATTAGCCCTGGATTTTACCCTAATTAGATCCCCACTTGCTTTCCACCAGGATATCCCATTAGCCAGGGCCAGAGCTGCAGATGGCCTTCCGCTGGGATCCTGCCCCCTAGCCC